CACACACATATATATATATATAAAATAAATGTTTACCAAAAACTCACCTGGGTAAGCAGTGCTGATGGTTTAGTGGGTTCTACATCACCCATGTTGGCACACGTCAATATTTATATAGATTAAAAGTTTTTGTATTAGATATTTCATTAATGTGATAACATGTGTAAAAAATTGTATACACACACACACACACACATATATATATATATAAAATAAATGTTTACCAAAAACTCACCTGGGTAAGCAGTGCTGATGGTTTAGTGGGTTCTACATCACCCATGGTGGCACACGTCAATATTTATATAGATTAAACAAGAGTCTGAGTTTAAAATTTAAGTACTTTAATATATATTCATGTGTAACAAGAATGTTAAATATGAAAACTTTATGAATTACACATTGTAGTACAACTAGATTGTTGATACGTCATAAACTGGTGCTTTTCTCCTTTTCTTTCAGATGAGAGACTAAAATATACACTCGTACTACTCCCAAGAAATCAGGAACTACAAGCGTATTCACTAATATCTTATAGCAAGCATGATAAATCAATGGCAGGTCAATACATCAAAGAGAAGCAACATAGCATATCCTTGCTATTGTAAAGATATAAAGACAACACTCTAGCGCATGAGCAGCTACTACAGAAACACGGCTCCCTGGAAGGAGGAACGTGAGAACAGTATACACACGGAGTTATACAACAAAAGGAGTAGAGAAACTTTATAATAAAGATGTTTCTTTTTCCTGGCTTTAAAAAGAAATGATGATAACCATACTCACACTTTCAAAAAGTTATTAATACGAACTTTGACGGTTAAAATATGCATTACTTGTAGATGATAAGTTTAGACTTAAAAAACAAACTGATTAGGCACTGCAGTGTATATTAATACATGTCAAACAATGTTTATATGAAGAAAATGGATAGAAAAATAAATGCATTTACTTGTACGTGATATTACAATTTTTATAGAAGGTTCTATTACATGCTTTTATACTATCTGTAATTCCATAACTTGAATATAAGTGTGAGTGTGTTTATGTGCATGCACGTGTGTAATTAGAAAAATGCTTTAACCTATGCATGACTTTGCTTTAGGTATCACTAAGACTGTCAATTGTGTTAGTTGTACAATTCTTCAAATTAAATTTTATGTAGACACAATAGTTTTTATATTGATGTAAAATATCATACCAAATTTTACTTAGAACATATGAAAGACAATAATATTTTTGTATGCATATTTACTAAATACAATATATTATTTTCAATTACAGAGACTGCACATTTATCTACAGTTTGTTACCTTTATCACGTGATAAATAATAAACTTATTACAAAAAATGTAATCTAAAATTGAACACAATTAATTAATTAATTTAATTCAGAGTATCTAAAGTAGTTTCCTTTTCCATTTTTATTTTCATAAGAATATCTAAGTTATATTCTTCAATTTCAAAATTATGATTTTTTTTATTCAACCATTTTCTTTTTTAAACCCTAAAGTGTATAACAACTGGCGTACAGTTATATTTATATTAAAAAAAAAGACTTGCAATCTTCAACAAACTTGAAAAACCAACAACCTCAGAATTAAACTCAGACAGAATCAGACAAAATAATGCTTCTGAACTTAGTGCTCAGGTAATAAGAAATTCTCAACTAGATTGAATTGGAGAGCCATAAACTGTGCAAGAGTATACATAAAGAAAACTATACCAAGCTAACTTCCACACATAAAATCATCTAAAGCACCAATCAATCTGGTTTGATAGATGAAAGATGATACTGCTCAAAGCTGTAGTTGGTGATAATATAGTTTCAGTTATCCAATGAGAACTAACTATTTACATAATTCAATGGTACTATTTCATTCGTGCACAAATGGACTTTTTTAGTAGAGATGGGCAATTAATCGAAATTATTATCATTAAATGAATTAATGTCATAAAATAATCAACTAATTAAAATTAGTGTCTCTGATCATTACCATTTTCTATCATTCCAACTATTCAAATAATCAAAATATTGTCATGGTTTCTCATTATTATTTTCAATTATTTCAAGGTTGTTTGGCTTAACTGATTAATGTCATGATTCACAAAAATAATCAATTAATCCAAAATGAGTGTTTCCAATAATTTTGCTATTATTCCAACTATCCAAATCTCATGTGAATGTAATTGAATAATGAGCTTAATGATTATTCAATTAGCAAATTCCACTAATCACCCAGTTCTACCTCTTAGAAGCTTGAAAAATACAGGAAATCTGACTAAAGAATAATCATATATTGAATTATCAAACTATTTAAGTAGTATTAAGTAAATATTAATATGGTATATCATAAAACTTGAATGAGGTATATAAACTATATTCAAGTTCATAATAATTTTAAAAATTGCATTTTAGATTAAGTGTGGTCTAATAACTATTATTTAATGATTTTTCTTTGTTTCTGCCATCTTACACTTCCACTGTGCATCACCTCTAGATTACTGAAACATGACACTTTTATAAATATACACCATAAATCTACCTTGATTTTTTGACTTATCTTGTATAATATTGGAGCTTCTAACTGACATTCTGTTGTAAACAAGTCTGATCTTCTTATCACCATATCTTAATAAATTATTATAACACCTAGATATCTAGGTTTATGTATAAAGCATGCTATATTCAATGTATCAGAGTATCATCTAGGTTTTAATATTTTAGGCATCCGGTAACAATGTCTCCAAATCGAGTGGCACCAGCAATAGCATAACAATGTTTGGGGACAACATGGGACCTATTGGTCTATCCCAGCTGTTTCATCCTCTAAACTAAATTAAAATAATTAAAAAAAAATAAATCTTAATGCCAGCCCTTATCATTCATATATTTATCAAGCTATTTCTTAAACTCACTTAAATTAACTGCTTCTACAACATCTGAAGGCAACCTATTCCAAAGGCCAACCACCTTGTTAGAAAAATTAAACTGTCTTAGCTGAAGATGACTTCTACCTTGTCAAAATTTATACTTGTGTCTCCTAGTCCTACTATTCTCACTGTTGAATATGGAAAAAGATTAACACCATCAATTCCCTTTACAATCTTAAACACCTCAATCAGACCCCCCCCCCAACTCTTCTTTTTTTCAAGAGAAAACAATTTGAGATATTTCAGCCTCTCTTCATATGACAATCCCTCCATCCCAGGCACCATTCTAGTAACCCTTCTCTGAACCATTTCCAAAAATTCAATGTCTTTCCTAAGGTAAGGATACCAAGACTGAACACAATATTCCAAATGTGACCTAACCAGTGACCTGTACAATGAAATTATAACCTCTTTAGCCTTGTATTCAATATTTCTATAGATACAACCTAAAATCCTGTTTGCCTGACCACTAGTAATGACGTAAGGTATCACATAAAAATGATAAACAAACAATTTGGTTGTACTTTTTCTTCCTTCCGAGAAGAAATAGTGACATTTTAAAAAAGTCAGTCAGTAAAAACCATTCTACACAATACACAACGAAGTTTCTGAAGTAACTTTAAAATTGCATAGTTTAAATATAAAAAAAACTATTTTCAATTCACAAATTTGTCTAAAAACTTTCCACGAGAATAATTATTTACGAATTTTAGATACAGAATAGATGAAATCTGTACGTTCATGACTTTAGGAATATTTTATTTTGGCTCAAGAATTGTAATACCCTTTAAGTAAGTAAATATACGATTCTTTAAGTTTTGAACGTTATAAATAAATGCTGTTAAAAACGACAACACAAAATAGGGTTTTAACCATATACCTGTTATAATATTACTATAAATTTATTTTTTGTTTTGAGCATGTGCAGGTTTCACATACTATATAGTCAAGAAAAGTGATAAGTTGATCTTGTTTCAAGTTACTTTTGTTTCTTTCTTATTCTCAATGTTGGTAATACCTGTTACCACCTGTGGTGAACATTGCTCAAAACGACCTTGTGAAAGGATGTTGATAGCAGTGTCCTTCAATGGTTGTACATGTAAGATTTAGAGGTCACGGCCCATCTACACATAATAAAAATGACCGGGTCACGTGGTAGCACTTGTCATAGTGGGTAAATGCAAGGTTTCTTAGAAGCTAAGAGATCTCGTATTACCATTAGTCAGTCTAATTGATGATCTTAACTAGAACATCAAGAAGCAATGGCCCGATGTAAGAAACCCACAAATACGTGCAGTTACACACTTCAAGAAGCAATGGCCCGATGTAAGAAATCCACAAATACATATAGTTACATACTTCAAGAAGCAATGGCCCGATGTAAGAAACTCAAATACATATAGTTACACACTTCAAGAAGCAATGGCCCGATGTAAGAAACCCACAAATACATACAGTTACACACTTCAAGATGCAATGGCCTGATGTAAGAAACCCACAAATACATACAGTTACACACTTCAAGATGCAATGGCCTGATGTAAGAAACCCACAAATACGTGCAGTTACACACTTCTAGAAGCAATGGCCTGATGTAAGAAACCCACAATATATACAGTTACACACTTCAAGAAGCAATGGCCCAATGTAAGAAACCCACAAATACATCCAATGAAGTTCTAAAGTTAATTCAGCTCACCCGAATATCAGACATACTCTTAAAATTCCAGAAAAGCTTAATTTCCCTATTTTGAATAAGAATTTACTATCTGAAAATTTGGGAAATATTTTATTTGTACAATTCTAAGTAAAATTTCAGTTTTAAAGTAATTTTCATTAGTGAAAAATATCACAATTATGAAAACAGCTTTCAGATACTGAGAAAATACTGAGCTTTCACTGTTCAAAAAAGCATGTTCCTTTTATAATTTTTTTTAAAAATCAAAGTAAGGCACTTTGTTTCTGCAAATACATGATTTTGAAGTACTAAAACATTGTTAGGTTTTGCATAATTCTGTGTGTAGTGAATCATCTATGTTGGTGGAGCTTAGGAAAATAAATTTAAAACATCTACGTTTAGCATAGTGAGAAAATTATTTTCCATGAGATGCAAAAATTTTCTCTCACATGAAATATCTGAACAAAGGTTTTCCTGTTTTACATAAATCTACATCTCTTATTTTCACTCTAGGTTTAGTCCTTTTTTTCTATTTTGTTTTATTAAAACTATTGGATTCAGTAATTTAAAAAAAATTATTTTCTCTGCAGGTCTATACAATTTTTTAAACCCCTTGATAACCAACATGGTTACATTTTGGTCCAGAATTTTTAAATTAAAAATTATTCAGTAAGGTTTTTTTCACACATCATAAATACACTTAAAAAAAAAAAAAGAGATAGAAACATAAATCATGTTGGCTATATACACCTGTTTGATAGAAAAGATAACAGAGGTTACTTTTTATATCTACATTAAAACATTTTGAACTACTATAATTTTTAGCCACAGCATAGCAGTTCATAGAACGGCTCTAAATTTTTAAGGTACAAACTCATAGCTCCATCATCTCTGGACCAATTTGAGATCTAGTTATAGTTTTGGTCTCAGGAGGTCAAACCCTTTCTAATGATGCATTTGACAATGCCCAAGGTCTCATAGATTAATTTACTCTAATCCTGCCCAAAATAATTTCAATTCCAGCGTAGGATGGTAGAGATCCTGATGAGTAATAAAATCGAATCAGGTATACGCGGGCCTCACACTTGGTATTGCTGGTGCAAAAAAAAGTAGCTAATAAAAAGGAAAAGAAGGTCTCGTAGATTAATTTACTCTAATCCTGCCTGAAAGAATTTCAAGTGCCAAGGCTATTGAGGACTCCTTCTTGTTCCTCCTCATGTGTTTCCAAGAGAAGATATTAGCAATATTCCTGACCATGAGCAGTCTATGAAAAAACTAGAATTGATCTAAATCATGTAGATATTAATGCCTCGGTGACAAGTCGAAATATTGAGATTAAAAGTGG